TTGCTAAGTGAATAAAAGGAAGTGTTTGTTACATTTATGGCTTTTTTGAAAAATAAGGAAAACAACTGCAATTAAATGGAATGGCTCTTATTATTTTAAAGTTCCGTAAAAGAAACCACCACCTGCCAGAACAATGCCTCATCCTGTTTTCCTTAAATTACCTCTTCCAGATTGAGCCTCCCTCCCCCCCCCCAAACAAAGAAAGGCATTTTCAGGGGGTTTCTTGAATTATGCCAACATTTACTCCACAACAGAAACTTGGTGCAAGATGCATCAAAGACAGCCAAAGTCTCTAAAGACTGAAGCATTACAGTGCTGGGCCAGCATTTCCACTACAAAAAAAAAAAAAAAAAAAAAAAAAAAGGCTCCAGTGATCCAGAGCCATTACAAACTGAATAAATAGTTAATACGTTGTTGCCCCTCTCTTATTCCGGAAACATGACTTAAAAATTCAATAGCACACGCAGCTATGAGGGAGTCCCACTACTGTCACTATTAGTGCGGCTGGAAGCTACGAAGGACACCCTGCCATGTACAGTCCACTATCCTGTCTTTATCTACATTTCGTTGCCTCTATTACTGTTTTTTTTTTTTTAAACAGGAAAAACTCCCACAGTCTCAGAATTACTAAAGTCAGAGTTATGAAGATGCTGAAAATTATACAAGAGAAGTTATAAAGGGCAGAGCCCAAGACTACGGTGTTAAAAATAACGACTTAATTCCATACCCTCTCAAATCCCCCTAGAGCTGTGCTTTGTATTATTTATGTGCAGCTGCCTTTTATTAGAAGACAGAGAGCGTGAAGCACAGTGAGCATCTGCCCTTCAGAAGAACTTTACAGTGTCAATTTATGTTAAGTAAAAATCTTACAGAAAAAGAAAGCTAGTGTTTGTGGCTTTCCCTATAGATTTAAATAATGCCATTTAGGCATCAGGAGACAACATAAGTGACCCTTAAAGCTGAAAGGGGTCCAACCATTTTAGATACCAGCTGGTTAAAGGCCATAAAGGTGTGTATGAGGTCACACCAGTGAAGATGCTAAGCCAGTATTTTTGGCTCCAAGTTCTTTGCATCAAATCAACAAGACTTCGAGACTATAGCTTGGTCAGGTACTACTATAATCGTTGGTTGGGTTGTCAACTTGAGTGGATTAGGAAATGTCTATAATTGACGAAATGTGCGTGTGTGTGAGAGTGTGTGTCTGTGTGTGTGTGTGTGTGTGTGTGTGTGAGAGAGAGAGAGAGAGAGAGAGAGAGAGAGAGAGAGAGAGAGAGAGAGCATTCCTAGAGAGGACTGACATGTGAGAAAGTGATGGAGAGTAGCCCTCACCCACCCTTGATGTGAACTCTGCCATCCCTTCCAAGAGTGGCCAGTATTAAAAAGAAGCCCAGTGAAAGAGCTGAGAATGTGACACCCACCTCCCCTTCTTTGGGAGTGTGTAGGTACACTATGGCTACTGCTACTCTCCTCCAGAGATGTCAGACTCCAGTAAGTTTGACCTTTCAAGGGTCAGTGACTCTCCAGGGGTGGGCACATCTGGATTTTCAGTGCTAACTGGGAACCGCTGGACTCCCTGGCACTTGCCTCTGTAGTGTGCAGAAAGCCATTTATAAGCAGTATTTGTATATGTACATGTATTTGCATATTCCTTTGGTCCTGCTCCTCTAGAATACCCGTCTAATACAGACACGGGGTGTTTCGTCTTATAGAAATCTTACTGCTATCACTTCGTGATGCTCTGGATTTCTCAGCCTCTACACCCTAGCCCTGCCTGTTTAGTCTCCTTCCTGGGTTTGTCTTTTCTCTCAAAGTCCGCTGGGATTTCAGAAGATGTGACAAACTTCTGAATGTAGTGCCATGTGGTAAGAGGAGTTAAATTCTGAGCAGACAGGACACAGACAGCTCTGTCCTGACGGTCAGGCATAACCAGCTGCTCACTCCCTTCTGTCACCTTGAACCCCCTAGCAGACAGGCTGCACAGAGGACCTGCTCACCCCCCTGAAGGTTAAGTCTTTAAACTAGAGGCTGGGGAGATAGCTCAGCAGTTAAGAGCACTTACTGCTCCTGCAGAGGACTGGAGTTTGGTTGCTAGAACCCACATGGTGGCTCACAATGACCTGCTACTCTAATTCCAGGGGATCAAATGCCCTCTTCTGGCCTCTTTGGGCACTGGTTACACATGGGGTGCACACACATACATGCAGGCACACAGATATAAAAACAATGCTTCAAATTAGGTTCTGTACGTGTTGGTGACACAGTACTAGCATCTTCCCCTGCCATCTATTCATGGGATTTCACATAGGCTCTGCCCTCTTTATACCTCCATTTGGCTCTTTCCAGCCCTAAATGCTGCAGTATATCATTTTTGGGATGATAATTATCATGAAGGGAGAGGTAGGGGTGAACTCAGATAGCCTGCTACATTGCACTTGAGTCTTGACCCTTCTGTCTCTACACACACGAACCAGTCAGTCTGAGTGGGTAGATTTCAAATGGGTGGGAGCATGTTTTGGTGTAAAGAATGCCTTGATAGCCACGAGCAACTGGAGGTACTGGGAAGACAGAGGCCAAAGACAGACAAAGCAGGGAGTGTGGGAGTCATGGGCCATGACCCATGCTTCCTAGTAGATCACTCAAGCCACTGTCTGCATTCTTTGGGATTTGTATCCCCCTAGGACAAGGGATAACAGCATCACTGAAACCCTGGCTGAAATGTCCTGTCCATAGGGATCTTACTGTTGGATTAACTGGGGACAGTTCTGTCACACGATGAAATGGTGACAATGCCTTCTCTGTGTGGTCCTAAAAGACTGGTCCACATGGCGGCCTCAGTCTGTACCGTAGTGTAGCCCACCTGCAGTAAAGGAGCCGCCATCTGCAGCTAGCTTTCTCCGCTTGCATTTTTGGCAGTTCCCAAGCTCGCAGCCACCCTGAAGCTCTTCCTACTGCCAGGCTCCAACACAGCAAGACTCTAGGGGCAGCCTTCTCATGTGTGTTCACCAAAACCTGAGTTTCTATAGTGACAGTTTTCTGTCAGATGACAGTATGGGTTTTCAAGGAAGGATGGCAACACTGCCCCTTCCCAATCCACACGAAAACACAGGAGGGCAATGAAATCATTTAAATTGCCCATCCTCATATCAGCCCAAATCTACCACTCTATCCAGGGCCCCCAGATCTTGCAGAATTGCTATCAAGACACCAAACTTTTAAAAACCAATAATACCAATAACATGTGAGGTGCCACAGGTAACAAATGTCCGTGTTCCAGCAGTGGTCACCTATAGACATTCTGCTATTAGTCTAGAAAATTTTGAAGAATGCAAGAACCTCTCCCCAAGGCTCAGTAGGAACCTCCAGGGAGCTGTGTCAAGCCTAAAGCCCAAGGACAGCCTTACTAAGGTAGATGCTATCAGCAAAAAAGGAGGTGGGGGGTGGGGCTCAACCCAGAACCCAAAAACATTGTTAAAGATAAAGCCCAGACGCATGAGCCAAATCTGTACTTTCCAAAGAACAGCGGAGGCCTAGACCAGTGAGGAGAAGAATGGGTTCCTATCTGTGTTCTATGTAAATAGACCACACTAAGGGACTGCACAAAATGCTAACGATTCTTGCTCAGACTGGACTATAGGGTTTTGTTTTCTTTTTTAAAGTCAGGTTTACAGAGGCGTAATTCATGTAGTACATTTTACCCCTGTATGGGTGGGAAAAGTTCATATGATCATGGTACTTCCATTACAAGAGACAGAAGTTACAGCACTCTCAAAATTTCCTGATGCCCATTCCAGTTGGCCCTTATCCCTAGCCCATGTCAATCAAATGACTTCAAAATTCTCTATACTTAAATACGAGTTTCTACACTTTAGAATTTCCCTCAAATATTTATCATATTTTTTTGATTTTTAAGACATGCACACACCAGTGCCAGATTTGAACACACTTAAATTATAATACATTTTGTCATCAATAACATTTTAGGTTATATTTGGCAACACTTTTCTCTTTTTGAGATATGTAACTATATATCTTTTTTTTATATTTTTTTTCTTATTTTACATACTGATCCCAGTTCCCTCTCCCTCCCATCTTCCCATGCATCTCAATGACCCCCTCTATCCCATCCCCCATCGACTCCCCAGGGAAGGTGAGGCCTTCCATGAGGGATCATCAAAATCTGTCAAGTTATTTGGGACAGGGCCTAGGCCCTCCCCTGCGTCTCTAGGCTAAAGGAGTATCCCTCCATGGGGAATGAGCTCCTGAAGTCCATTGGTGCACTTGTAACTATATATCTTACAATACATGGTACTCTTTAAAAAAAAAAAAAAATCAATGAGGTACAACATTTATTCTTCTTTCATGACAGTAACTTAATATTTACTAAGGCTAACTGTTCTTCCAGGTGCTAGAAAAGCAGATGCACTTGAGAGTAGGGATCACACTGTCATGTGGTAATGTCTATAACAGGGTTTTCTGCTCAGTGGGATCACATAGAATTCTCTCTTGCTGGCCACGTTTCTTCTTTTGGGAAACTTCCCCCAAATCATATGCTCACACAGACACAGGAAGTAAGGCTGAAGGAGCTAGCATTCAGCTTTACTCCTCTCTATCCAAGAATGAGTTACTGCTATACCATCTGACACTTGCCTAGGAATAATCCAGTGATTTCTTCCTTAATGTGCTGCTGTGGTCGAGAGGTCTCATTTTAGTGTTTAACAGCTGCAAGGCTTTCATGACGATATCAAAAAAGAAGTCTCCAGAAATAATGGCTCCATCTATGAAGAGCAGATGTCCCAAATCCCCCACATGCATACTTCAAGGTCCTCACATTTTTCCTCCAGAAAACTTTTCAAACTTTTTGGGGGAGGAAGGAAGAGCTGGGGATTGAACTCAGGGCCTTGTGCATACTAGGCAAGCTCTCTATCACTGAGCTATATCCCCAGCCCATCCATGAATACCTTTTAAAGGGGAATATGGAGAAGAAACATCAGTGCTCTTACCTGACTCCTGAAAGTGCTCCTCACTGGATAGAGTTCTAGACAAGATAAGTATTAGTGCTTCTTTAAATTGGTCAAAATGTACCTAGAAAGCAATTAAAAATAAGTTTAAAATCACTCTTCACAGCCCCAAGAATGCAAATCCATCTGCAAGGTATCTGAACTGTTCGTTCCCATCCTGACAGCTTTGAAGCAAATCATCACCCACGTCTGTTCTGTTTTTTCCTTCATCTCTCTAAATGGGAGGGAAAAATGGGATGGTTCTTTCTGACATCCAGTACCATGAACACGCTGGCGTTTACACAAACACCAGGATCTACTCAGCTGCCAAGGAGAAAGTGAAGCTAGCAAACCCTCTGTAAACTCGGGAAAAGATACATTTTGACTCTCAATTCCTGTCACCTTTTAAACAAGATCAGAAGAGAAAGGCTTTAGGTTTGACAGCAGGAAAAACTTCCTAAGTAAATGACCCATTGTCACGTGGGCCATGGACTCTTTCATCTCAAGGTAGTCTAGAAGGGAGTAAGCTCTTGTGGGGAAGATTTTAAATATGATTTTGCCTGGGGCTGATATATAATATTTATCTCCCAAGTTCCTATGAGTATATAAATAAGCAAAAATCAATACCAAACACACAGGATGCAGGAAGCCTGAAAAGCACTTTCATCAGTTTATAAATCTATAATTGCCCCTAGTAGCATGGGGGGACCCAGTCTGACATACGGGAATACTCATTGGAGGTGCTTACAACAGTAAAAGTCGTCTTCCACACCTCCAGTTTCTGTGACCTTGAAGGTCACAGGACAGCAGGGAGAGGTCTCATTTCTAGTCTGCATAATTATAGAGTGTGTCATACTTATTTTCCCAGAAGCCTATATATCATAATAAAGTTGGTAAATGTGTCATTTGTACCACTATAGGATTCTTTGAATATCATTTCAAAACACTGGCTGGTATGTCTAGCCTTTTGACATTGTGATGTGCTCTTTCATCTACAAAGTTCATGCTTGAGAACCACACAATTGAGTTATTTTTAAATGAAAAAAAAACCTCATAATGTTCTAAGTAATTATGGTTTTCGTGTTGGGCTACTCACAGGCTATGCCTGGACAGAGGTTTCAATATAGATGTAAATGGGAAAAAAAAAAAAAAAGCTCCAAATTAAATTTGGACAATCATTAAAGCATATTAGTTACCTTAACATAGGCAAAGTTCATATAATGTATCTGCCCGAAGGACAGCATAACAGAGGGGCCCATATAAAGACTAATCCGGAAGACTCGATCAGTCGGACTTAGTGGCTGCAGCCTGTAACTCCAACTACTAAAGAGGCCAAGGCACTAAAGCCACAAATTTAAAGCTTACCAGAGTGACAGAGTAAGTTCCAGGCCAGCCTGAATAACAAACAAACAAGTCATTTGTGGTGGCACACGCCTTTAATCCCGGGTGTCTATCTTGTGAGTTCAAGGACAGCCTGGTCTACATAGCAAGTTCCAGGACAGTCAAAACTACACAGTGAAACCCTGTCTGGGAGGAAGGGAGGGAGGGAAGGGAGGGGAGGGTTGGGGAGGAGAGGGGAAGGGAGAGGTGGGGAGGGGAGGGAAGGAAAAGGGAAAGAAAAGAAAGCAAAATCAAAACAAACAAACAAACAAAAAATACCAAGCCAAACAAAACTGTATTTAGTTATAATTTGGCAATTCTCCTAATGTAGATGTGAGTTCTACTACACTAACTTTGATTCATCAAAGCTTCCCTTTGTAGAGCTTTAAATGTTGTAAATTACTTATATTATGTGAACATAAATGTGTGTGCCTGCTTGTCTGTATGTGGATGCAGGTGCCTATCATGGCTAGAAGAGAGCATTAGATCTTCTGGAACTGGAGTTACAGGTAGTGATAAGCTACCTGGTGCAGGTGCTAGGAGCCAAATCCAGGCTTTCTGCAGGAGCAGCAAGTGCTCTTAACTACTGAGCCATCACTTCAGCTCTATGTTCCTTTTAGATCATGTGAACTTTACTTAATTTTCTATTTGTTGTGAAGGAGTATAACTTGATGGTTAGATATATGTATAGACTGTGGGATAGTCACTGTGATCAAGTTTTGTGTGTGTGTGTGTGTGTGTGTGTGTGTGTGTGTGTGTGTGTGTGTTAGGATTTACCCTGTGGGCAAATTTCCTGTAATTATGGACTTTTGAAGACATTGCTAGAAGAAACCATGAACAGAAAGTAGTCTGCCCAGGGAGGCAGAGCATCTGCTAAAGCAATAAGATGGTCCATGAAATGGTTAAACAATTGCAGGAATGTAAGCTAATTAGGGGTTTGTGGCTGACAAATCATCTTAAAACCTCAGGAAGAGAGAAGCACACAATTCTGGCTTCAGAAATAGACTCAGGTAGGCACAGTACCGCCCAGGTGAACTGGAGTTCTCATGACTAAGGCCATTCACCCCAACAGCCGGCTCAGAACATCACACATCTGGGAGCTCAGGCCAGCTGACAGGGGTCTCTTCATGCCTAAAACCATCCCTCCTATTCTAGGGCAGGCAGCAGGGTGGCTGGGAAGATGCACATAGGCTCTGGAGGCAGCTCTGCTGCTCACTTCCCACTGTTCCCTGGCTTGCTTGCTACTCTGATCTGCAACAGTTGGGGCTTTCTAGCAAATGTCTTGTCTGATTCCTTTGATGTGTATGTATTGAGCAGCCGATACATGTCAGACACTGAGCTCTGGTAACTCAGCAAGGATGAGAGTGACATGAGCCAATGTTTTCATGAAACTCAGGTTCATTGGATGTCAGACGGGTAATGAACAACATTGCATACATTTCTGGTTTTTATAACACTACTTCCCGAAGCAGGGCTAGGGAGGTCAAATGAAAATTATATAAAATGTCTAAAACTTAGTTGATCCCCACAAGTGGTAGTTAACATTAACATATATAATCCTGGGTTGACTGTTCCCAACACAGAGAAACTTTGAAGCATAGCAGATGGCCATTCAAGTGACATAGTCAAGCTCCAAGAGGGTAGGACAGCAGAGGGAGATCCTGGGCCCAGTCTGCTCCAGAGATGTCTGGAGTTACTCAGCATCAGGGAAATTGAGCTGATCTTCTGTATGTGGAGAACCCTAACTATGAGTCTCCTAGCTTGAGTTATTCACAGAGGGTCCTGGATGAAGCCTCTCTCTCCAAGCTAAACATGAGACCTATTTGAAAATGGGGTATTTGTCCTGGGAAATTCAAGCCCTTTATACTTGACTCTGCAGGTCTCTGTGGGGTTTCTAAAGGTCTATGCTTTGATAGTTACAGGTGAGAGTCTTTCTGAGAACTGGGTGTGGTGATGCCTGTAATCACAACTCTTGGGAGGTGGAGACAGGAGGCTTGAGAGTTCAAGGTCAGCCTCAAACTACACAGTCAGTTCCTGGCCAGTCACACGAGACTCTGTCTAGGTAGATGGATCTCTGTGAGTTCCAGGCCAGCCTGGTCTACAGAGGGAGTTCCAGAATAGCCAAGGCTACTCAGAGAAACCCTATCTCAAAAAAAAAAAAAAACAAACAAACAAAAAACAAACAAAAACAAAAAAACCAACAGAAAAATAGCCTCAGTGCTAATTGGTCTTGACTAATCCAGTTCAGTAAAGTGGAAGCTAACAAGGTCACCCTGGGGTCTACAACCCTTCCCTGACGCAAGGTACCGGCAGGCACCTATACTCAGAAATTACTTTAAATCAATGTCAAAGGTCTTCTATGGTGCTTGAGTCTCCATGACTAAGGTGCAACAAGTAGAAGCATCTGGGATGGGCTTCTTAATCTCACAGCCCTGATTATCTGATTATCTTCCATATGGCAGACTGAGAGGAAACCAATGGATGAGATGATGTGGCTCCAACTTAAAGGACATCTGTCATGACAAATTCAGGCTAGATAGGGCCAATGTAGGAGCCCTCAACTTTGCTGTTGCAGTCATTTCAAGACTTAGATACTTAATGTGTTTTGGCTCACATGTATATATGTGCACCACATACGTGCTTGGTGCCCTCAGAAGTCAGAAAGAATGCAGGGTCCCATGGAACTAGAGTTATGGTTGTGGGCCATCATGTGTGCTAGGATTCTAACCCAGGTTTCCTGCAAGAATACGTGTTCTTAGCTGCTGAGCAACCCCTCCAGTGCCTAACACATGCAGGCACGCATGCACGCGTGTGCGCATACACGTTCTTAAGCTGGAAAACACACACACACACACAACTTTTTTGTTGTTGTTGAGACAGCATCTTACTATCTGGCCTCCAATTTACAGATATCTACTGGCTTTAACCTGCAGAATGCTGGTATTAAAGGTATTGTCCACCACACCTTACTCTACTACAACACACAAACTTCGTCCTGCTGTGGCCACGAACTACAGCCCAGAAACAGCAAGCAAAAGACAGAAGCCCCCAAGGTAAGAACAAAAAAGTAAGTACTGACATTAACCAGCCTTCCTCGAACACAAATAAAGGATGATGCCTTTATAATAATAATTTAAAAACTATTTTAATAGTTCTATGTAACCTATTTTTAAAAGATAAAATATATGCACTCAAAAACTAATAGGCAAGGATATACACACTGCTAAATGAAGCCTGAAGTGTCTCTTTTCTTCTGCATTACAAAAGTTAACAGGGCAAAAATGATGAAGTACAGTATAATTATGTGTAATATATTCTTTGATCAAATAAAACTTAAAGCAATTTTTTGACTCTCCAATGGACAACCCCCAGTCAGTACACGGGATAAAAGATTCTGTTATTGGAAAGTGTTATTTACATATGTCTCCGATATCCCAGGTGAATGGGATACTATTGAGGGTTTTATCCTAGACAACTTGTCTTTGAATTTTACAGCACAAGTCTTAGAAGTGGTGGGGTTACCTGGGGAACGAGGCCCACTGATAGAATTCTACCAGACCCAGCAATTCTGCCTAACTTGTGCCCACTTCACTTCTGACTTGACCTCTCAAGAGCGCCCTGCAGTTCCTAGGCAGTGGAAGGCAGCAGCGGGCAGAGGATAACTCGACCTCAAGACACCTGACCTCTGCTCTCAAGGAGTATCGG